AAAATCGAATAATGGATTTCAGAAAGAAAAAAAATATCGAAATTTGCTAAGGAATTTATCTTTCATTTCCGGCAAAATGGTTAAATATTTTTTTTTATCAAAGAAAAAAATATAAAAATATGAAACAAAACGCATTTTTCATTTTTTCATGATTGGAATCAATTTTTATTTATTATAAATATATTTATTTTAAAAATTTTCAGACTCTTCATCATATCTTTGCTTTATAAGGAAAAGGAAATTCGTGATAAAAAAAATATAATTCCATTTCAATTTTTTTCTTTTCTTTCTTTCTTTTTTGTTGTGCAATTTATTTTGATTATTATTGTTTTTTCTATATTAAATATCATTTGTTTGAAAAAATATATTATTTTATTTAACGGGAGTGGGGGAGGGTAGGGTAGAAGGAATTGGTAATCATAAGACCTCGAAAAAAAAACAGGGCTTCATCCTAAATTATAATAAGAAACAGGTTTTTTATTAAAAACAAAAACTTAAAATTTAAGTGTCTCGTTTCATCCGGAAAAATATTACGCAGGTCTTAAGATTTTGCTCATAGAAGGAACAAAGGTCTAGACATATATTATAAAAATCTCTAGACTTGGGCACTATTTTTCTGGCTAAAATATCGAGTTCGCCATTTTAAAAATTCGGCTCAAAATGAGAAAATTTGTAGCCGACCGTTATTTCATATTAGAAAGATTCTTTTCTTTATATTACTCAGAGACCTGCAGGCCCGACCCTAAGCCCGGCCCGCGTATTTTAAAATTTTTAAATATACCCGGGCCGGGCCTAAAAAATTTTTTTTAAACATATCCGGGCCGGGCCTAAAAAAATTTTTTTAATATACCCGGCCGGGCCTAAGATTGTTAAACCCGGGCCGGGCCTTAATATTTTTTATAAAAATTTTTACATTATGAGTTAATGGTTATAAGATTATATTATATTATAGTTATGATTAATATAATATTGGGTGATGGTTAACACTACCTAACACCCACAGATCGATCTAATTATTAATTTCCTGCAAATTTATTCAAAGTATTAATATATTTTTTTATAATTCATATCTAAATTTTTACAACATATTTTACCAAAACAATCAAATAAAAGGAATATCTTAAATAAGCCCCAATATTCAAGTATTATTAATATATTTTTTTATAATTCATATCTAAATTTTTAGAATATATTTTACCAAAACAATTAAATAAAGGAATATCACTTCTTAAAGTTTGTAATACCTTTCAAAGCGAAAAAGGAGAAATAAAATTGATTTTACTTAATATAAAGCATTTCTTAATTGAAAAATTTGTTTTACACAAGTATCATTTTATTTCTCTTTTTCTCTGTCCCAAATTCAAGCAATTACGTATGTAGTCAGGGACAGATCGCAAAATGACGGAAAACTATATAAAAGATTATATTAAATTACAAGAGGCTTAGGAAGTAAATGAAATACCATCGACCAGTCAAATTACGACTGTTGTTAAACAAACTGAATCGTTTTATGACAAATGGGGTGATGGTAATTCTGGTAATATGTCAATACCCGATGATGAATATTATAATTACATAAATAATAGATAAAACATTTAAGGTGGATAATTTGTTAGAGTGGTGGGCGGCTCATCAAAGCGAATTTCCAATTTTAGCAAAATTGGCAATTCCTGCTTTAAGTGCAAGCTCTGAGCGGAATTTTTCCACTACTGGGAGAATTCTTGAAGAAAGAAGAAGTAATCTTCAACCTGAAAAGGTAGATATGCTTCTCTTTCTTCATGATAATTTGTGATTTTTAATATCTTGAGTATAGGGTTTCGTCAATCATGCTGGTTTTTTACTTTGCAAACTGTCAAATATTTATTGCATTTATTATATTTACCTTGAGTCATGAAAGTTTTTAATCCAACATTAGTCATGAAAGTTTTTAATCCAACATTTTTCATTTTCTTTTTTACAATATTATTATAATACAATTATCTTCTTTTATGGTAAAATACCTCATAGGTGAATTTTTGTATATACCAGGTCGAATATAATTTTAAAAAATTCCGCGCCTTAAATTTTTAAATACGGGCGGGTCGGGCCGTAAAAAATTTTTTTTAAAAAATATCCGGGCCGGGCCGGGTTTTAAATTTTTAAATCCGGGCCGGGCCGGGCCTGGCAAATGGTACCTCTGCAGGTCTCTGATATTACTCCACACCACATTTATTTTTAGTTTGTGTCAGAAATATGAAATTATTTTTTTCAAGAAATTTTGAAACTTTACGAATTTTTTGTTTTTTTTAATAAAAAAATAGATTTTGAAACGCAACATTTTTAAAGAAAACTGGTACTGTTAAATGGCGCCATTTTTAAAAATGGCTAACCCAATATTTTAGCCAATCAAATATAATGCAACCCTCGCGATTTGGTTAGTAGATTTTTCAAACTTTTCTGCAAAATATGAGCCCCGACTTTGCGTAATATTTTTTGGCTAAAATATTGGGTTAGCCGTTTTTAAGTTAGCCATTTTTAAGTTAGCCGATTTTTAAAAACGACTAACCCAATATTTTATCCAGAATTATATTATGCAAGGTTGAAGATAATGTTCATAGATGGCACACAAAGGTCCTTCTCTTCTCTTCTCTTCTCATCAATCAGCGAAATCTCTGGCTAAAATATTGAGTTAGCCGTTTAACAACATTAATTGTTGCTATGAGTTTCTTCAAATTCTATTTTAAAATTTAATAGATAATTTTTTTTTTCATATTTATAGTTATATTTAATTTAAGAATCATCCTATAGGTGGAAAAAAATAAAAATTATTTCTTAAATATAATATTAACATATTATAAAAATCCACCAGATGGCGCCGTTTCTATATTTTGATCAAATCAATAGGGTCCAAAGGGTGATCTAATAGCAGTTCCATGTGTTGTACATAAAAATATATCACAATATTTACAAAAAAAGCTAGAAACATTGATTTTGGTTCGCAAAAACTTGATTGGTCCAAATAAAAAAAAATACGTCATAAAAACGTGATTTTTATTTTATAAAATATTAATATTTTAATAATTACAATTTTTATCCTTTTGATTAATAATCCTCTAATCTTTGAGTAGCAACGTTTAAACTTGTAAAAAAAATTTGTTTTTAAAAAAGGCATCGTTTTTGGACAAAACAATTTTTTCTTCTTCTTCTTCAAAGATGATCAGTGTTTAAGACCATTCCTGATGTGATTGGGAGAATGGAGCTGGGGGGGTAGGGGGGGGTTCTACCCTGTCCTTATGGCTCAATGAAATTAGCTACGATTCATTCTGACCGAATTTGTGGGTTACTGTTAAATGTTATTTAAAACACCAATTAGTTACTAATTTTTAATTGTATCGTTGGACAACTCTAATTTATGAATTACATTTAATTGCTAAAATTTAGCTAGAAAATTTGTAAACGAATTTCGATGAGCTAAGGGACGGGGTATTAGAATAAAATAATATCATTTGATTCTTATAGGAATATCGATTACTCCAAAAAAAAAATTATTAAATCACAAATCACTTGTATCGGGATTAAAATATTCATATTTTAATTTTTTTAAAAAAACGTTATAAAATTTTTGCCCATAAAATTCGTATACAATTTGCTTTGTTTTAGTTACTTAAAAATTCAGTTAATCTTATTAATAATATAATATATATTATTATTTTATATACTTGTGTCCGAAAACAAAACATTAAAAAAAATTTAATTTAATTTCAAAACGTTATCTAAAAAGCACGTTAATCCTCTTTTCGTTTTAAATAGAAAAATAAAATAAAAAGGTGGTAAAAATACATTAGCGACATTTTCGATACTTTATTATCATTGAAGTTACTTTGAAGTTACCTTAAAAGTTATATTTTTTTTTAAGGTTTTAAAATAAAACTGGTTTTGTTTATTGGATGCAACTTATTATTTCGCATACTAAAAAAAAAAATTTCTGTCTGTATATTACCCTGAATTCACACTTAGCCGTGAATTCGCGTTAACTGATAATTTTTTATACGCCTAAATCTTTTGTTAAGAGATTCACCCGTCTATTACGTAGCCGGTTTGAACAAAAATATTAACCGAAACCAAATAATTTGAAAACCGACCCGGCAACCGGGTTTAAAAGTAAAAAGAAATTATATCGAGGAACAAAAGCAATTTATGCTCGCCAATAGAGGGAAAGTATCTAAGATAGCAAAAACCCTAAACGAATTTTGGATACAAATACAAGTCACAGCCCTGATTAAGGGAGATGCTAAATAACATTTACAGAATTTACGCGTTTTTCATCTATTAACCAATTAGAAAGATGTTGGGTCCAATTTTACAAAAATCCTATTAAAATGCGCAAGCGAAATACCCAGGCAAATGGAGTGCTAGACTTCTGAAACCCCCCAAAAAAACTAATCTTAATAAACTCGCAAGAGCAAGAACATAGTCACGTAGAAAACAATACAAAAAAACCTGGCGCAACAATTTTAAAATATAACGTCATCTTTTACTTATTACATCTGAGCTATATTATTTTTGCGTTAATTTTTATGTAAATATTAGTTTTGGCGCGAACGTTATTGAAAGGAAACATTAGGGCAATCAGTTAGTAAATAGGAGGAGCATTTACATTCATTCATTATACAACCAAATTTGATATTCAAATTTATTTTCGTTTTTAATAGCCAATCATTTTTTAAAAAAATGGCGTTTTTTTTCACCCTTTAACCCTTTTTGACCAATATTATTATAAGCTAGCGAGTTCAAATTTCGTTTCCTCCGTTCTTAATTATTTAACAATTTCGTACAAATTTTTTTAGCCGGAATGGTTTGGGCCAAAAATATCCACCATTTTCTCGTCGATTTGACATAAAATTACTCAAATTTTGTGAGGGATAGAAATGATGAACCAAAAAATGTTGACATGGAATTACTGGAATAACGACATAATAGTGCGTTAATTTATACGTTTTTGCTCATCTACTCAACGCCAGGTTCGGTCAAGAAAATAACCGAAAAATTTGGGGCATCTGTCAGGAGGAGGAGGAGGAGGAGGAGGAGGAGGAGGAGGAGGATGAAGAGGAGGAGGAGGAGGAGGAGGAGGAGGAGGAGGAGGAGGAGGAGGAGGAGGAGGAGGAGGAGGAGGAGGAGGAGGAGGAGGAGGAGGAGGAGGAGGAAGAGGAGGAGGAGAATGAGAAGAAGGAGGAGATGGAGATGGAGAAGGAGAAGGAGAAGAAGGAGAAGGAGAAGGAGAAGGAGAAGGAGAAGGAGAAGGAGAAGGAGAAGGAGAAGGAGAAGGAGAAGGAGAAGGAGAAGGAGAAGGAGAAGGAGAAGGAGAAGGAGAAGGAGAAGGAGAAGGAGAAGGAGAAGGAGAAGGAGAAGGAGAAGGAGAAGGAGAAGGAGAAGGAGAAGGAGAAGGAGAAGGAGAAGGAGAAGGAGAAGGAGAAGGAGAAGGAGAAGGAGAAGGAGAAGGAGAAGGAGAAGGAGAAGGAGAAGGAGAAGGAGAAGGAGAAGGAGAAGGAGAAGGAGAAGGAGAAGGAGAAGGAGAAGGAGAAGGAGAAGGAGAAGGAGAAGGAGAAGGAGAAGAAGGAGAGGAGAAGAAGGAGAATGGGAAGTAGAAGAAGGAGAGGAGAAGAAGGAGAAGGAAAATGGGAAGGAGAAGAAGGAGAGGAGAAGGAGAAGAGAAGCAGTTCATGATTTTATTTTAGATGATTTGTTTTTTTAATTTAATCTAAATCTTTTATAGTAATAATATTTGTTTTCTAAATGTTACAACTTATATACCCAAAAAAATAATTATAATATTCTCGGGGCTTTATTTTAAAAATAAACAATTAAAAATTATAGTAATAATTATTTTTAATTTGTTATTTATTCATCATTTTACCATTTATATTTTTGCCCGAAGCGTTTAATATTTATTTACCGCTCATATTTTAAATTTCACATTTAAAACTGTATTAAAATTCCGGGCCAGGCCAAAAAATTTAGAAGATATTTTTTTGCAACTCCGAAAAAAATTCACGAATTCGGGCCGGGTCGAGTCAAATTTTTTTGAATAAATTCGAATTATATCAATAATAACCAGTTGGAAATATCATAATAAATGTTTCCTCGCCTCTCGTATTTTAAAATAGAAACCATTTACAAATATATAGCCAAACAGGCCTATCTAAAATAGGAAATCAGCAAACTCAGCCGATAAAAATACGGCGGTTTATAAATAATTTTTTTTTTCGGTTATGTCCAAAACTTTCCTAACTTGTGTACCGTTTTGTTTTTTCAAAAAAAAAATATACCAGTTATTTGAAAACTTCCTCTTGTTTTTCTTAGCTCCTATTTATTACAAAAAAAATAGTGTACCTCTCATTCTATTGGATGGAAAGTATGGACCGAACCCGGCAAAGGGCCCGATTTTTTCACGAAATATTACCGACAAAACCTCTAATTAAAATAAATAAATAAACGATGGCCTTTAACGTTTATTTTAAATAAATATAATTAAACTCAAGTCATTCCTTGCCTTTCTCTTCCTTTTTTTCTCAATTCTTCTCTCGTATTTTATCTAAAAAAAAAATTCCATTTTTCGATTTATTCTTCCTCTGTTTCCCGCACGCTATGAAGAATGATTAATAGATATTAAAAAAAAATATTTAAAAAATTAATTCGTGGTTTTATATAGTAATTTTAAGGCGTGTGGATGGATGAAAAAAAAAATACAAAAAATATTAGATATAAATTTTTTTTAAATAAAATAAGATTAACCAAAGACAAGACATCAGTGCGAAGTGTTAAAAAAAAAAATTTTTTTTATTATTCCCGTAAAGATTTTATCGATTTATTAATAAAAAAAAATTATAAAAGTTTTAATTTTTATTTTTTGTATAACAGAAAAAAAACGTAACATTATAATTATGGCGCAAATTAAATTCGCTTGAACGCTCGATATCGCCCGCCCGCCCACTCTTTAATTTGAGCGGCTAGTGAGACTCCTGAAGGCGGGGTCCGGGATACACCAAAAAATATAGGATTTTGGAAAACCGGACCGCTAAAATGAAAAATCCGGGCTGGGCAGCCGGACCTGGTCCTAAAAATAAAATTTCAAAGGGCAAGACCTAACGTTTTGATCTCGAAAGATCTTCTTTGTCCGGTGCCTCAAAATCAACAAACTCCCATTTTTTTTTTTATTTAATCAAAAAAAATCTATATTATTATTCATTTTATTTCAATTCGCCATAAATTTTTAAACATTCATATAAACAAAAATATTTCTATTTTTTAAATTATTGGATTTATTTTTTTTTACATAAAGAAAAAAATTTTTAGTTTGATTTGTGTCATTCAAATGTATTGCGAAGCGTAAAATAAGTTCTTTGATTTAAATTCAATCGTCCAAAAAAAATACGAACTTAAAATTTCCCTCTGTAGAAAATAAAAAATATATATTTTTGGGAATAAAATTAAAATGTATATGTAAAAAAGCCAGGTTCGTGTAAAAAACTCAAATATCCCAAAATTTTTGGCTCAATCTCTAAGTTGTGGGTTGGTTTGAAAGTTTGGCTCGAGTCGTTTTAAATAAGACTAAGGACAGGTGATTTAACTGACGCTAGTAATGAATAAACGCTAAACCCCGTCTTCAGTCATTCAAAGAAAAAATTGGTCCGGTTTTTGCTACATCTCGTCTTTCATTGAAATCTTGATAGATTTAGATCTTCTGCATCAAGAGTTTGATCTCTTTTAACTTGGAGAGGGTACGGATCAATCACGTCCCGATCCTAAAACGATAAAAATTTAGTCACCAGAACCTTAACCGAGCAGGCGTATCCACCGGTTTGAACCATAATATTATTCAACTTTCATTAGTATCAGTTAGCACCGGGCAACAAATATTTCCTTGGTTTTCAACATATACAATCCAATATCTAATGGTTTTGTGAAAATTATCAATAACTGATAAATTAGTCTAATAGTTCGTTTAAAAGTAATAACAAAACCAGATTGTATATACTATAGGTCCGCAATGGGCGGATCCGGTAAAAAAAATTGTGGATCGGCAGAACTCTAGCGAAAACCGAACAGATATTATACTTTTTTATGAGCCGAACCCGAACCCCGAATGGTTATTTTCTTTGGACCTAGGTCTGAACCGATCTCAAATCCCTTATTATAATCTCGAGGAGAAGGGGGATAACTACTTACTTAATATTGAGCCCTGCAAGAACCGATCCGATGATCCCAATCCAACCCAACTCCGGTTAGTCGAATTCAGGCCAAAATTTTTAATACTTTTATTTTCTCTTCCTAATCATATTTATGTTTTGTTATCCTTTCGGCGTTTATATTATTTCCGATTTTCGTTGAAAGTGTTCGTACTTTTTCAATAGTCCAATCGGACCTTCGAAAGGATTGGATTGGTTAGACCAAACAAAAAATTTTCACTCTACCTGAAAAAAAAAGTTCATATGCAGGGCTGTTGAAATAAGTAGTAGGTATCCAATTTATAATTCATTTATCTAATATGTCACCGGAAAGGGTGAGGGGCTTCAGAATCATTGACCGAGGGGTCTAGACGGCCCAGTTAAGCGTCAATAAAAGAATATATATACAGATCGAATATATATCATGTGATAAAAATTTGGTTAATTATCCACTGGCCGAAAAAAAAATCTGAAATGTAAATTTTATATCTAAATTCTATAAATCTATAATAAATATGCTCCCAGTAGCAACATAAGCCGTCACTCATCAGCTTAACAATTGAGTTAACTATAAGGTTACCAAGTGACATATAGTCCAGCAACACATATATTGATTTCAACATATTGGTCATCTCTCTCTCTAAAGGGCATGCTTTAAAAGCCCTATTTCTGGTCAATTTTTAAACACGGCCCGATTAAAATTTAAGCTAAAATAATATTATATAAGCCTTTGGATTTTGGCAAATAGAAATTCAGACTTTTCTGGCCAATCTCCAGGATTACAATTTTTGGCTAAAACCTTAATCGAGCCATTTTTTTAAATAGACCCAAATCGGGCCTTTTTTTTAACAATGCTAGGATGCAATTTGTTGACAGAACCAACGCCAACATCATAAACTTCATTCTAATGCCTAAAAGAAATACACATATCCAACATGCAGAACCTATCAATTTATCATCATAGAACAATCCCTTCCTATAATGTAATTCAAAATATCCAATAATATCATCAGGATCAAAAAAGATATATATTATCTTCAATGAACATTTTTCTTCAACCTTCATATATATGAACTAAAAGGATTTCTTTTTTCATCAACAACAAATCCTAAGAAAAACTTTTAAATATTATGGTTCCTTCTTGGGAACCCAGTAAAAAAAAATAGGCAACCCATATATAAATTTTATTTGTTTGTAAATAGATTTTTACCCATTATATTAAATTAGTATAAGGAATAACTCATGAAAAGTTCCAAAACCTGGCATAGAATTGGAATAAAAAATATGGCTTTGCTTTTCTAGTTTAAGAAATCTAGCAATACCATTTGTTAAGTATAAAAGTTAAGAAATTGGCCACACTTATAATTAGAGGCAATTAAGCTATATATTTTAAATTTATTGAAGCATTAAAAAAATAATAATCTACTATATTTTATATAATTTGTATGAAATGAATATAATTAAATTTGGCTCTCTAGATTTTTTATGAGTATTATCTAAAAAAAAATAGAAATAATTTTTTAACAATTTTTTCCTTGTTATACAATGCAAGTAATTAGTTGTATTAAAACTTCTATCTTTTCACAAAAAAAAAGCAAACAAATTTTAAATTCCTTCATTTTAAGAATTTGCATATAATATGAAAAATTGACTAGAAAATTTTAATTTGTTTGTAATTGACCTTATTCGGCATTAAATTAAAAAATTTTAAGAGCAAAAAAAAATATATACATATAAATGCAAACTTTGATGGAATCAAAACAAGCAGTAACCCTTCCATTTTGAACTTCAACATGGGGTAAGGGATGAGCATATTTACATTCTGTATCTGGTCTTGTGCATTTATTCCTTTGAAATTCCCTGCACACCTCTAAAGTGAGCCATCTTGAATCTTTAAAAGTCACCAAATTGTTGATCACAGTAGACATTGTTTAAATTGAGTTTATGAGGACAAATTATTATCAAAATACTTGAGGAATAGATATCAGGATGTAATTTGTTAACTATTTAATTATGAAATAATTTCTAAAATCTTTTTCATGTTTTTTCAAATTATATTTGTTCATTTTTATGTTAAGAATCAAATATTTTTTAAACGCATGAATTGAATGATGAGTCCATAAAGTTTTAAAAATACTTTTTTTTATATATAAGTTGGAAGATAAAACAATAATTTAATGAAGGTTAATTTTTATAAAATTAAATCACAATAAAAATTATTTAATAACATTCATTCTATATAATTTTTTTTTACGTATATTTTTAAATAGATTTAAATCACAGGGATTGTAAATATAGATTGATCACTGGGATATAAATTAATAATTAAGTCCTGATTTAATCAATATTGAATGTTAATTAAGTTAGCGTAACTAAAATATTTTCAATCAGAAACCCCAATTTGATGATACTATAAATGTGATCTGATTTGAAATGTAAGCAGGAGTAATTTTGTGATCTATAATTTATATGGTAAAAAAATATTGTATATAAATATATTAAATTAGATGTCTAGCCTTATAAAAAAAAAGACCAATATAGTTTTTTATCAATTAAAAATATATGTATACTGAATTCCTAATAAGGTAAAAAAAAAACCATCATAAAACACTAATAAGCTATATCTTCTATAATTATGATATGATAAAAAATTTATCAAATTTATACAAATTACTATAATTAATTGCCTTAAAAATTAAATTTACTTGCTTATCCTATAAACGAATGGATTTTATAAGCGATTTACAATTTGCTAAATATAAGAAGCGCCAAGCAACAGAAAGCAAATTATTTACAATAAATAAGTTAAAAAATTTTAGTTTTAAATATGAGTCATTTTTATTTGCATATACGATGGTTATCGATAAAACATGACTTGTATATTATTAGTCAAGGTTTTATAATAATAATAATAAAAAAATATAACATATAAATAAAAATAAAAATATATATTACGTATATTATTAAATTATTGATAAAGACTATGAAAGTATGATATGATCCTAACCTATCATATAGTAAAATAGTATGTTTAGTTTTTTATGAATAAAGTTGTTATTGAAATAATCAATATTTAATTCTATGTTGTTACATTTTTTCAAATTATAAACAAGTTAACTCAAATAGGGGGCTGGGGCTTTTACTAATCAGTTTCTAGATGGCTCATTGTGGCAGTAAAGAATATCTCATGACCGAGATCTAATTGCACTCCAGACTAGGAAATGATATCTGAAAATTGTCCTTGTGTGGTTAAATGCAAGACAAGCGGCCAGAATCATAGAGAATTTAATTTTAAAAATTGTCTACTTGACTGATAGGCCTAGCCAATATTTTGCGAAAGGGGAGAAAGTACAATCAGGCTGTATTTTCCATATATTTTACTAGAGATCTTTAAGATTCTCTATTGCAAGTCCTTGGCTTTCTACATTTTTTTAAATAATATTTTTTATATGACAGCTATTTAAAAAAAAAAAAATTATAGTTTTTTTTAAAAAAATTACTAAATTTTGCATATTTTCTCAAATTATCGTTTATAGTATTATAATATTATATATAATTAGTGAAGAGGAGGGTTGGGGGGAGGGGAAGATAATCATTAGGCTAAAATGATATTTAGGAGATCAGGCAAGTTTCAGAAGGGTTCCCTTGCCACCCTGACTATGCCATTGATAACTCGGATATTCTATTTATTATTCAAGTCCATTTAGAGTCGGGCCGCGTGGACCATCCAATTAATCAACATGTCCTCGCAAAAATAACTGTATGTATGCTGGAAATAAGTTTTTTATTAACCCATAAAACCATCTTATCTCTATCTATAATTATTTTTGACTCGCATTCATGACTTAACCATATTATTTGGCACTTTTCTATTACATGGGAGATGATGAAATAGTTTCTGAAGTGGGATAAGGAAAGTTAAATGAGCTTTCGTCATTAGAATAGGAGGGGGGGGGGGAAGGTATAACAACAAATGAATGTAGAGGAGGTGAAGAGTATGCAAATTTAAAATTTTTTATCTTTAGTTAATTTTGATTTTAATTTATTTTTATTTTAATCATATTTGAATTTGTTTTTGCTTATAGATTTCGCTATAACTTAGATATATATATGAGGGGGAGGGGTAGTAATAGAAAAAGGTAGAAATCAGGTGCGTAACCAATGGCGAGATGGGTGGAAATCCCCCCTATTGCAAATTTGACTGTTTTCATAAATATCATTTTAAGCTAATAAAATTTAGCCCCCATTCCTCCCCTTAATTAAAATTTTACAAATATTTGAATATCAATTTTTCAACATATTATTCAAAAATATTAATAAAATGGAAAAATTTTTAGTCAAAGAGATTGAAATCAAACGGTAATTTATTTTATTATTATATATAATTATTTTATTAAAAAATTATTAGTGAGTTAGAATTAATAAGTATTTTTAATAATATTTTAATTATTAATAAATTTCTATAATTATTTAAATATTTATTTTTACTTCCATTTTGTAGAACAGAAGAAATAGAAATACAAAAGTTAAATAAGGCTGAGCATGAAAAAATATAATGTGTCGTCCGAAGCGATATTATTATTGAATTCAATTGTTCAATCAGAGTTTATCATTGCTGCTAGTTGCATCAATAAATTATTTTCCTATAGCTCACTACTTTGTAAAAATTACAAAAACCGAATTTAGATTTGCTTCAGGTTATTTATTTGGCGGAAAATATATAAGAACAGGTCAGGTAGATATAATAAGAATGAATATAGATCAATATTTCATAATATTTATTTAGACGTTGTATTGAAGGCTAAATTTTATCAAATAACACTAATTAAACCTCGTCTAGCACTTATTGAGATGTAAAATAAATATTGGTGCAACTGAAGAATATTATAAAATATCCATTATCATCCCATTCTTAGATTCCTCTTTATCGCAAATATAAGTACGGTTTTTAGATAAAAAACAAGTCTTTAGCAATCTTCAAGTTTTATTACCCAAAGTTCCTTCTTCGTTTTCTAATGCCACTATTGGTAAAATTAAATATTTAGCAAAATTTTATTCCTATGATATTGTTATTGAAATAAATTTAATCAGTGAATTCTAATTGTGGTATAAATATTTACTACGTTTAGCTATTTTACCTGAGCATGCTATTGATGCGCTCAATCGGTGTAAAGAAACCTTGGCTCAATTTCCTAATATTTTGAAGTTGTTTTATATTCTTGCATGTTTGCCTATTACAATATGTACGAATGAAAGGACTTTTTCCAACTTGAAAAGTTGAAAACATATTTACGAAGTACTGCTTCCGAATCTCGGCTAAATGGGTTAACTCTGTTAAATATCCACAGAGATTTGGTTCCAGCGACAAACAAAATTCTTGATGAATTGGCAACATTCCCACGAAAATTAAAAATCACATTATAATTATAGTATTTAATAAAAAAAATTGTTTAATATTGTAATAAGAAGTTAAAAAAAATTTGTGTTTTAAATTATTTTCTAGGCAATATTATATACACACTACTATTAGCATTTTATTTTCAATAAAAAAATTATTATCTACTCATATTGTATGAGAATCTAATCTGAGGTTAGTTTTTAAAGCAAATTTTATAAAAAAAATGACATTAAACTTTATTTCAACTTTACATTTAATAACAACATTATTAATATAATATACCTAACTTAAAATAATAAAAAATAGGCGTGTAATATCCATAAGCACGAATTAGTAAAATTAAATTATGAATAATTTAATACAATAGCTAAAATATAAAACCCTGCCGAAGGCCGGGGAAAAGCTGTACGAAGGCCAGGTAAGTCGGAATTTGGGGGCGAAGTCACCAAAAAATTACCCCCCACCCCCCTATAAGAAAATCCTGGATACGCCTCTGGTAGGAATCATTATGAGCTTAAGAATGAGTATTTCCTGGTTTGCATGGCAAATGTCTTTCATAACTATCTACATCAATCTATTTAAAAAATATACTTTTTAAATGACTATAACATGTCTGTATGCCACGGCATGCAAACCTATTATGACTCTTATGGGGTTCTTTTTCTCTTATCGAGAATTTAACAATATGATTAATATCACATCTGTAGTATCCAAAGGCAGTAACGAGAATTCATCTTTCCCTTTGAATTCTCTGCCCACTCCCTAATATGGAAATGTAATTTTTTTAAAGTGCCATTATTTTATTTGAATTATCTTTTCATACATAAAGAATTATATTAAATAAAAATGTATCACTCCATAAAATAAATATTTTAAAATGGGATTATTTGAACAAATATAAATTTACTTCCTTAAATTATCTTTAAATGTAAAATTATCGTGTTGATAAAATTGTGTATTGAATATTTCAAATTATATAAAAAGCCGTAAATTTTCTTTAAATTATGTTAATTATTTAAAATATAAATTGATTTTTAACATAATATCAAATTTACAATTCGATATATAGAATGTTTATTTTCCACTTTTTTATATATCGATAAAAAACTATATGATTTATTAAATCTAAACTTTGCTTAGTATATATTTATATTTTGTAGCATATATAATCTCAGCTAGCCATAATTAATGATAACAATTCTAATGGATAATAACTAAACCTTTATCTATACCTAGGTTCTCTTAAGTTTATGATAGATATTCCAGAAACATATCCATAACCTTTATTTCTCTGCAGTGTTATTGATTTCGGTGAATTATATAAAATTATTGATTAATCTGGTCTAACCCAAATAAGTCTTAAGCTTTTATTTTCTAAAGATGAAACTTGATTTAGCCACTTCTCAATCCCATTCTCTGTTTGAATTTGCTTATAGTCTAGTCCTAAATATCTGCTTTATTGAATCTACTACCCATAAACACCAGACTTTAGCCCGTACCTAGATTTCCTTAGATTACCTGTTTGATATCCACTAGAGTTCGTGAAAATATATTCATACATCATACATCATCCACAAAACACTAAATAATTGAGTGATATAAAAGTGTATACCCTATATGTTATAAACTAAACCCCTCATCCATATCTTACTAACCCTACCCCTAACATTAAAGTACCTGTTAAGTCTTATACCGTTCCTTGTTTCCGTTTAATTAAACAATGGTC